TTTCCTGTAACTAGGTCTAAACATAAAAGTACAAAAATGGATAATTCCTGAACTTAATCTGACACACATGAACCAAAAAGCAAGGAAAATATAACAATATTGATTAAGGATGATGAACCCAAAATTAAAGGACACTCTCCAAAGGAATAACCAGAATGTGATAAAGTAAGTACTGAATTTTGTCAAATAAATAAAGAAGTAATTTCATTTATTATCCATATATTCCTAAACATTTGATTCTTAAATCATTCAGGTATGTATATATACGTATTGTTTAATAGATAAATGTTTACATTTGCTTTCTTAAGCATATTTATAGATGAATTGAAAAAATATCATTTCCACATTCATTTTATGAAGCTCTGATCCGGCTAAAAAAAGGAAGAAGTACGAAAGGATGCTAAGCGACATAGATGCAAACTTCCTCAAAACTTCATTCTACAACAGAAATTTTACAAAATAATTAAATACAGTGAATCCTGACATGCTGCCACATATGGGATCCTCTCACAGAATAAAAAGAGAACTTTCTTTGCCTTTAATGATCACAACTCTGTTTTACTTTTGGATCTTATTTAATGTTTTGGTTTCTCACACTAGAGAGACTCTATGATGTTTATATATGTGAGTATGATGAATTTCATTCATGAGTATGTTCTCAAGTTGCAAAATAAAGTAAATGAAAAACAAAAAGGAGTTCACTCTGGGTAAATAATTAAACATTTTAAAACAACACAGAAATTACATAACAAAAATATAGATTCTTATCAAATAATGCAGAATAAAACATGATTAAGTCCAACAACTATAAGTGATAAAATCTCTCAAGGAGATTTCTGTGAAAAAATATACTATTAATTATACTGAACCAAAAATCAGGTAACACTGTATTTAATGGACGAAAGGGAATCATTTCTTTCTGTAAAATGAAAAACAGGAAAGGATTATCTATTCCATGACTTCTTTTAAAAGTTCTCCTGGAAGTTCTCATCTGAAAAGTAAAGAATCTATTCCATGACTTCTTTTAAAAGTTCTCCTGGAAGTTCTCATCTGAAAAGTAAAGAAACAAATAGTAACTTTACACATACACATTAGCGCCTACTTCACTTCTCTTCCCTGTGACATCTCAGGAAAAAAACACACAAGATCTCTTATAATGAAATGTAAAATTCTGCTATTGCAGATGAAGAGTTTTAGTTTGCCAAGTAACATGCTACAAAGGAAAAGAGAGCTGTAAAGAATTATACATATAGGCCATTCGGTGAAGGGGTGTGCAGTAGAGAGAAGGCCACACCAGGAAGCAAGTCGACTCTGGGAACCAGTGCCATTTATGGGCTGCCGCCGGACTAGAACAGCCAGACTGCAGCCCTTCCAGTGCACGGGCTGGCAAACAAGAAGCACCAAATCCCCCCCACCTTCACTGTAAGTGACCATCTGATCTGGAGAAACACAGGCTGTGATGATAACTATGGAGGTGAAATGCTGTTGGATTCTTGCGATGTTTGATGTTTCACTAACATTGCAGGTCTAGAACCAGTGGTCTGATCATAGGTTCAGACGATTGCAGTATGCGGTGTGACATCTAGGGGGGATCTTTTTCTGAGGGTTGTAGCCATTGTTGATTCCCTATGGTCTTGCTTTTAGGTCCTGTAACATTTCCATTGTTTTGTTGGGTTGTGTTTTATTCTCTTTTGTTTTGATTATGTCAAATCCAATGGTAGGAGCAGCTATTTCAAATACAGCAAGATATATTATGGTAGCAACTTTGGATTTACTATTGGCTTGCTTTGAAATCCTTTATTGCATTCATTGTTTTGTTTTGATTGTTTCTATTCTATTCTGTTCTGTTTAATTTTCACTATGTCAGAAGTTATCTGCTCCTATTTTAAGACATCAAAGGCATTATGGTAACTATTGGTCATTTTGTCATGGTTGTATCTTTATACTGGCATGTTTTGACTGGTTTTATTCTGCTTTGTCGTTTTTAAAATAAAATTTTCTTATTTTTATAAAAACCATTCACATTATGAAACTGGATTCAAGCTTTGCATTCACACATGACATAAATGTATGTCCAGAAATTTTAAAGAATGTACCATAAATGTTAAAACTCAAAAGAAATTCAGGAAAAATAAATAACATATAATCAAACTTCAAAAAACAACACTTCTGGATGCCTTTAGTGAAGTTTTTGATATCAATTATAGGAAAGTTAAGCTTAGCATGATAGTGCAAGCCAGAAATCCCAACACTCAAGAGGTCAAGTCAGGAAGATTGCTACAAGTTGGAGACCAGCTTGACCTACAAAGTGAGTTTTAGGCCAGTCTGCACTGCCTAGGGAGACCTTGCCTCAAAATGATGAAAAGTAAGAGAATTAAATTGCAATAGCTACACAAAATAAACTAGAAATCAATTTAACCAAAAAGATGACACATTGATGTAATGAAAAATATAAAACATTAATAAAACAAATGAAAAAATACACAAAATTAAAAGGAGATGTTCCCTCTAATGTATGGAAACATAATATTGTCTTATGTGCACAACTAATATATCAACCAGGTTTCTATTCCTAAAAGAAATACAGTGATAAATCACATTTAAAAGAGAGCAGGTTTGTTAGTCCAGGATTCGGTGGGCTTCATTCTGTTTTCACATTGTGTCATTTCCTTGGACCTGTGGCAGCACAGTGCATCACAGCTCAGTGCACCACAGTAATGGTGAAGACACGGTTACCCCATGCAGTTTGTCTGTGAAGCAAAGAGTGAGAAATACAGTGCTAGGTCCCATATATCTTCAAGGACATCCCCTTCATAACCTAAAACCCTTCCTGTATTTAGTGCATATGTCAGGTGGGGGGGCAGGGTGTGACCCATGTTTGCGCCTGTTGAAATAAAACAGAGGACTTGTTCCTCAGAGTCATTTGCTCTGGCCTAACCTCCTCCTCTACAGTGTGAATAGCATTCTATTTGGGATAAAGCAGTAAAATGGAAGCGTGGATGAATGGGCTAGATAAGCATTGCCACAGGATTTCAAGGCAAACCATTAAGGACAAACGACAACAGGTGAAGCTTAGGGAAGGGGCGAATATGGAAGTCACAGCTACAGATCTCACACAGGGAACTCCATGGAGACCACAGAGGACCTGTGCAGTTACACAAGCTCCAAAGTTTACACTTGAGCAAATGACTTCACCTTTCTCCCCACTAGCATATCCCATGCTCACAACTATGGACAAATGTCTGCCTCAATGGGGCACAAACACTGCTACTTGCTAAGAGGTAGGGAGGCTACCTCACCCTTTGTCTAAATCACCAAGGGAAATCACTAGAGATTTCCTATGGTGACACAGCACATATCCTAGGTGGATTCTGCACAGAAGGACAGGGACATAATGTGCCTCACTGACAATGTCTTTTGTGCTCTGAACTGGATATGAAAATGACACTGTAAATATTCTTCATGTGGTTCTGAAAGGAAACATCAGACACTTCCATGAAAACTACTTGGAATAAAGCAAGTTCTTACAACATTACTCTGGTTACAAATTATATGACTCGTAATTCTGAGTGTCTTTTCCTCAAAACTATTCCATGTGATGACCATTGTTAGTTCTGAAGGCAAGGACTTCATTAAAAGGACCTTAACCCTCTCTCTTTGGAGAAGAATGTCCTTGTCAGGTTTGCCATGGATCCTGAAGCTGTTATGATTGGTGTATACTTGTTGAAGATCTGCAGTGGTACTAAATTTCTAGGAATAATTGGAAGAATAAGGATGAGGCCCCAAAACATTCATGGGTACTGTGCACATGGCCAGAAAATGAAAGCCTGAGGAAAGAGAATCACAAGATCTAAACTAAGGTAAGCTTGGACTTGAAGCCTATTTTCAAAAAACAAAAGAAAGAAATACATGTTTTTAATAAGGCATGGATTCACAGTTCTGTAATTCTGTCACTCAGGATGATGAAGCAGGCAAATTACCTGACATTTGCAGCCAACCTTTGCTACCCAGTGAGGTAAAGGGAAACCTTATGGCCTGCACTGTAAAGTGATTCTTGCCTTCAAAAACCAACCATCAAAAAGAATGTGGATAAAATATGATGAGCAAGAGTTCAGGTTGAATTCTAGAGGCATTATTATCATGGGCATGGCGTTCATCATATATAATAATTCAAAAATAAAAATTATAATGTGATAAATGTTTTTAATTTGAGGAATAACTTCCAGAGAACAAGAGCAGAAGCTGAATCTGGGATGCGAATGAACACCAAGTAGATACATAGAGTCATGTTGGTGCAGGAAAACAAATGTATATGGCCTCCTTCTCTACCCAGAGGATTAGAAACTACTCTGTGAGATAAGCACAGAACTCACAACCTTATTTCCAGTTTTTGCTGGCTCTGCTTATGTGAGACTTGGATCGCAGGATTTCTTAGAGGTACCTTAGGGGGTACCTCTCCTGACAACAGAAATGACAGTGAAGCACGCTCTCAAGAAACAGTAATGGAACGAAAGGAGTAAAACCTAGGAATCATAAAAGAATCTGTGCTCAATTTGGTCCTGAGAACTAGCACCACAGCCTGAAAGGGCAGAGAGTTAGACTGGGGTACAGAAAGGGAGAAGGACAAGGAGGAATCTATTCCTAGGGTCAGGAATATGAGAACAACATTGCCCTGCTTCCTCCCCTCTTCTAAATTTGTCTTCTCACTTATCACAGAGTCAAATACAGGAGGAATTCAGAATAGGAGACTCTCAGTATCACAAAAGGACCAGACAAAGACTAAGCTCAGTGTCTCCTTGATGTAGGAACTGTGCTCAGTATATGCAAATATCTGCTCCAAATTTAGATTCATAATCTGCTCACAGTTTGTGGAACTCACAGCTTCATTGTCACACAGGGCTGAGGTCTTTCAGGAAGGTAGAGCTTTACAAGATGAGACTTTTGGGTCTTCTCCTGTGCCTTGCTTTGGGTCCCCATGGTGAGTGTCCTTAATACCAAACATGAGTCCAGGGAAACGTTACCAAATCATGTGGCTGATGGGATGGTTGCCATTGTTTCCAGGTGTCCTGTCCCAGATGCAGCTGCAGGAGTCAGGTCCTGCCCTGGTGAAGACCTTGAAGACCCGGTCCCTCACCTGCTCAGTCTCTGGATTCCCCTTCACAACCAGTAGTTATGCTTGGTGCTGGATCTGTCAGCCTCCAGGAAAGACCCTGGAGGTGATGGGAGCTATAGCCTACAATGGTGGCACTGGCTACAACCCGTTCATTGAGAGCCGTATCTCCATCTCCGGAGACCCCAGCAAGAACCAGTTCTCTCTCCAGCTGAACTGTCACCAAGGAAGACACAGCCACGTATTACTGTGCAACAGACACAGAGATTTGATGCAAGTGTGAGCCCTGACATAAACCTCCCTGCAGGAAAACTCAACCTGCAGGGGGCACACTGCGAACACTGCACTTGGGAACCAACTTCTTAGCCCTGTGCTGAAAGCCTGGAGTTTTTTCAGTAGTCAAGGGACACAGATTCTAGGGGCCCCCTATGTCCCTGATCCTACAGTGTTATATTTTCGTGGAGTCAGGCTTTCATTCGTTTCCCCCTCAATTTCATTACTGATTACACAGTGCATTTTCAATGAAGCTGTTTTCACAGAGCAAGTGATTACAAGTCTCAATAATTTTTAGATGTAGAAATATTTAAGCATGAAAATTATTTTTCTGTTAACTACAAGTTTGGTCTCAACCTGAAGGGTATCTCATCCTGAAGGGCACATCCAATTCTGTTCATGCAGACATTTACTCTGAATGACTGGACATCACTGTGTGTGTTGATCTGAGTGTTCATCTGTCACAGGAGCTGTTGATTTCCTCACATTTGACGAAGCAGGGCAATGCCTTGGAAAGTTGTGGTGGATTCTATTTCAATGGTAGAGACCATCATGCTGTCACACATCTTGCAGTTATAGTACACTGCCTGACCATTATTTTTTCGGACTTAGCATTAGTAGTTGTGAGTCTCAGAAACCCTTATGCAATGTCTTACATATCATGTCTGTTTGTATTAAAAAGTGAACTTGCTATATTTGCAATAACTTCAAAAATTTGGACATCTCTGTAAGCTGATATCAGTGTATTTGTAAACACTGTTTTTTACTTCTTCCTCATGTGTCAGTTGACTTGGGGAGAGTGAGAGACCTGACAATTGATCCATGAAAGAGCAAGGTACCCACAGCAGAGTCAAGACCAGAGAGGAGACCAGGGCCTGCCAACAGAGAAGCCTGTATTCCAGCTATCTCTCGGCTGTCCTGAGTGTCTTAGGACAAGACTGGACCAGAACTGAAGTCTGACTCCTGCATCACTTAAAATATTTAAGAGAGAGCTTTAGGATCACCCTGATTTGGGGATATGGCAAAATGTTGTTGAGTCGATTCCCTAAGATGCAAATCATGTCTCTGCAGGTTCAGATATATAACTAGGTGTTTATTCATAGTTTCAAATTATGAACAAATTTAAGGATTATGGAGGGAATCTGGGCAAGTATTTTAATAGAATTATCTATACATCATGCTATCATCTGTCTATTAAGCTATTTGTTTATGTTTCAGTCTATTCTCATTGCATCAACCTCTGCTAGGTCATATTCCTATTTACTCATCAACTCTGTATTTGCCTTTCATTTATGGATCTACTGTAAATGTATTATTTATTCACATACGTGTCATCTAACTTTTAACTTTCTGCATTGTTATTTTCTGTCTTTCCTGCCTATATCAACCCAAATTTAACTATTTTGTATCACTCTGTCCATCTATTTCCTAACTATTTGATCATCTGTCATTGATGGATCACTTATCATTGCTGAATGTATCATCTGCTTATCTTTACTGCTTTATTAACATAAGTGAGACACAAAACTGTTGATATGTAGTCTGTAAAGACTGATATACTTGAGACTGCCTAAGAGGCTGAGAAAATGGTATAACCAGTGAAACCAGTTCCCCATGATTTACTTCTTCTTGTAAAAAATCTTGACAGCGCTACACGCGAGGAGAGGACATTTTCTATAAAACATATGCATGACCTAAACGTAGCAGTCCCCATCCTGAGTATTTGCTATAGCAGAGTAAAATTTGATGTTCACTCTTCAATAGCAATCCTGCAACACAGTTAGTGCAATGTGTGTAATGAAAATTAGAAATGGTAAAAATATATTTTAAATTTTGAGCAGGTTTACAACCTAGAAATCATCCTTAGATTGATTCTCTCTGCCTCTCTGTCTCTCTGTATCTCTCTCTCTCTCTCTCTCTCTCTCTCTCTCTCTCTCTCTCTCTCACACACACACACACATTTCTATATACCTATCCATTTCTTCTTTTTTATTTTGAAGGTAGTGAAATATAATAGAACAAGGCAGAAAAAAAGCCAATCGAAACAACACAGTGAAATTGGTACAGAACTTCACAGCAGGTTACCTGAATAACAGTAATAGGTACCATAGTATATCTCATTATCTTCACAATAGTTGTCCTTTCAATAAGGTATAGCAAAATCTAACCTAGTACAAAACCGAGTGTTGAATAGAGCAATACAGTGGATCAAAACAAGGAAAGAAAGTGATAACGATATTTGCCTTCAAATAAACAGTAGAAGGAAATCCCCCATATTTGCTGTATTGCATACCATCTTCCTCCCAAGAGATGCTCTGACCACTGGCTCCCATTTGCCAATGGGAGGAGTATGATGTTTTATTTTCAGCCCATGCACAATCGGCCCAGGGCAACTTTCCAAGGAGGCAGGTGGGTTACTTTGTTCCCCAGCGCCCTAAGTTTCAACATGACGTGCATCTCGGGATGCTGGCTGGTTTTCCATGGTTCTGCCACCACTCACTCAGGCCATGGCTGCTAACTGAGGTGAGTTCATGAACAACAATATAAAAATCTAAGCAGCCAATCTGATAAATTTGAAATTCAATTAACTGAGCTCAGGATCACTCTTATATAGATTCATCCAGTTCATGGTACAAAAAAATGGAACCAAAATGGAAAGTTAGAGTTTCTAAAAGACAAAATCACAAAAGACATCCTGTTGGAAACAATTCAGCTTGAATCTTTCATTAATTTCCGGTTGACATATGTATCCTGCTTCTTTTGTTGGGCGGGTTAATTTTTCTTCTGTAAATGCAGCTCATTTTTTTTTCCATGGGACTTATACCCCGAGTAATATTACCCAGGGCACTAGTTAAGTGAAGGGCATAAAATAGCATCTGTTGTTCCAAGCTACAACATTCCCCACTGGCTTTAGTGCATGAATCAAATCCTTGATTCCTGTCATCTTTTAAATTCATCTTTTTTATCTACATTTCATAGATCCTTGTAATCGGAAGTATAATCATTACTTTTAATAGATTAGATTCTGCTTTGGATATAATGCATTAAACAGTTTATCATGCAAGGGCCAATAATAATGGCCAGCAGGAATAAAATCAGAGGTCCTGCCAGAGCTGAGAGTAGGGTGATCAGCCATGGGGTGGTGAAGAACAAATTTTTATATCAACTCTGTTAATAATGTATCTCAGTTTTTCTATCAGCTAGGCACTTTCTGAGCTAAATAAGACTTTTTAAAATTAACAAGATTTATTAAAGGCTAGGCATCGACACCCCTTTTGCAAGAATAGTAGCCAGTTCTGAAGGACCATTTCAGCCAGGGACTTTAGAGATGGTGATGAACATTTTTTTCAAGAGAGATCACAATCTATTTTTTGCTTAGCATCTGTTAATTTGTTCTCCCATTATGATGGCTGTGGTTCTTAGTGTTTTGGAACCAGTTACTTCTAATCCTAAAAGGACAGGAACTAAAACTGGGCCCTCTTTTTTTATCATGACGTTGGGTAACTCCGTATGTTTCCTCCCTCTTTCTCCAGAATACCAGTACACTTGGGGAAGAACCTGAGTTAAGATACAGAGTTCAGGATTAGGTTCATAGAACACAGCCAGACAAACACAAGGGCAAGTCCATTTGTACAGGCAAACCAAGTTTCCATTGGGGAGGCTAAATGTTGGTTGAGGAGGTAAGAGACATTTTGTACATACATAGTTGAATTGCAATTGATTCAAAATGAGGAGTGCTTCGAGGGGGAAATATATAGACAGAACACAACGGCCAGAGCCCTGAATGTTTCCCAAAGTGAGGGACTTAGGTCCCTCTTCCCACCAGCATGAAGAACCAGAATCAAGGTTTGATGTGTTTACAATCTGGGTTCGATATGAGTTATATGTCCACTTAGCTGGAGTCCACTTAGCTGGAGTCTCTGGTGTGGTGGGCTCAAAGTGGGAGTGATGAATCCAATGGGTCTTTCTGGCAACCTTGAGCACCATGGCAGTACTCAAGGGGACTGCATAGTGTCCTTCCGAGTGGGTGCCTAGGGATGTGGGATGTCTCCTTTGGTGTAAATTTTGGTCACCAGATTGAACTTCTAGGGGTTATCAGATATTTCAGAAATGGTCTGGTGGCCCCAGAATAAGCAGTGAGTTGAGTGAAGAAAGGGCTAAAGAGACTGTCAGGACTTAATAATTTTCCCATTTGTGACAGCAGCCAATTTATCATGTTGGAAGTTGGGGATCAAAGAGGGCAGTTGGCCGTACATGGCCTTCAAAGTACTAATGTCCTGGAGGTAGAGGGTACATCACACACACAGAAGGGAAAAGGAATCCGACTTACCCAGTTTTCGCCAGTCTCAAGAGCCATTTTTTAAATAGTTTCCTTTAAGGTTTTGTTTGTCCTACTTAGCTTGAATTTTGAGGCCAGTAGGCATAATGTAAATTAAAATTGATTTCTAAAACTTCAGCTAAATTTTTAGTGATCAGAGCTATGAAAGCTGGGCCATGATAGGACCCCAGGGAAGTGGACAAACTGAACTGAGACACTATCTCATAGAGGAGTTTCTTAACTATGATGAGAGCTGATTCAGTCCAAGTGGTGAATCTTTCAATCCATCCAGTAAATGTCGCCATGAGAATAAAGAGATATTCATGTCCAACTTTTCCTGGACCCATTCCAGTTAAGTCTATCTCTCTGGGGGTAAGTCTTCATTTTCTCTTTCAAACATCAGTAGTGGCCAGCTTAGTATTCACTTGAAGACATCGTGGGCATTTTTGGCTGATTTCTTTAGTCAGGCAAGATAATTTGGCAAATTTTAGTTCCCCCAAGTGATTGGCCTAGTGGGTATCCTGGGTGAGCTGGAGGCCCAATGATCTGCCAGCCTTCGAGATAAAGTTAGGCTTCTAGGCTCTTGAATGGTCTCAAGTCTGAATCTGAATAGGATGACTTGAGTAGCATGGGTGGTGGGAGAGCTAGGAGGAGCATCATGGGCCCTTCTTGTTGAGTGCCACCTCTCTGCC